GCAAACGCAAAACAAATTACATTACAAGATATGTCACATTTTTTTAACTCACTTTTTCTCCATTTCTCGTTAGGTTGGATCACAGTAGTGATTATGTTATTGTTTCATTTTAATTTCTAAAAAAAGTAATTATAAGTCACTTGAGGTCATAAATGTTTACTTTTTATCAATTAGAAAATACGGAATATTGGCAATCATAAATCTGACATTCAAAATGGATGAATATAAGGTACATGTGATGGAGCAGGTCATTTGTAGTAAAAGCAGATTAACAGCAAATGATTTGGAGATTGCAAAATTGGCTGGACATCTGTAGACATATTATCAAAGGAAGATGCATAAGATTCGGTTTGTATAATCTCTCTTGCCGCGGTGGAACGGCTTTATCCACAGAGTATTAACGTATGGTCCTAAAGTTTTGGGAAAAATTTTACCTGGTCTGATTGAGAAGCAAAACGCATTTAACAAAGAAGGCCATGGAATAGAAATGTCATCAGTTATTGACATTTAATAAACAAAGCAAAATATTTTGGTTTGTGCTCTGCAAAATGTCTTATAAAATTGATATTCGTCGAGGTGTTTATAATATGGTTGGGCGAATGTCGAAACGAGATATTGTTAATATTTATCGAGATCAAAACATAAGCAAATCGACAATTTATCGAACAATCAGATAATAAAGTTAATCAGATAATGTGAAGAAGAGATACCATGTGTTAACTTGCGTAAAAGTGGCAGACCGCGGATTTTGAACCATATAAGAGAGGAAAGACTGATTGAAGCAGCTAAGAACAAAATATTTTTCATCCTCCATCACGATCAATTTGTTGACAAAATGCACTTGCCTTAACGCGCGGCAACATCTCGGAATTCTCTCTAATTGATTCTCTGTGTATTTTGGAGCTTTCCTTCTTTTACGGTAGATAATATTGTTACTCGATAGAGTCCTGTATACTGTAGTCTTTCCAACATGAAATCTTCTGGCCAGTTTTCGCTGTGAGACCCCAATTTTGTTTGGGTGTGTTTCCCCAGTGGATCTTGTATTTATCATTAACAACTGCTAAATATTTCTTTATCCCACAAGAATGACATGAACTAGAAGAAAATGATTATTATACAGATTTTCGTGTCATATGTCTCGAGTGCATCAGAAGAAAAAGATTATTAAACAGACTTTCGTGTCATATGTCCCAACTATTTAGTTAACTTATCTCTTTTTTCAATACTGGCTTCTTGAGTTGTCATCTTATGCCCCATTCCATAGGTTGCCTTAAAATTAAAATACAATTTTACACTATTTTGTTTAGATTCCATATTTCTTATTATGTATTAAAAACATTGTTAATTTAATCGGAAATTACTGTTGTAGTATCAGTAGATGTCATCTTTTTGTATTATTAAATATTAAATAAATAGCCACATTATTTTAAAAAAAATGTTTAGGTATTTTTTGTTTAGCAAAACTCTTATCGGCAGAATATTGCGGCTTTTTAAAATAATTAAATCAGGATAAGAAATTAATTATCTTGTGTTGTCATGTTGCAAACTATTATGGTTTATTTTTAAATTCTCATAACAGCAATTTTTTAAGAGAAAAAGAGTATAAAAAGAAATCATTTAAAGCGAATGCACTTAATACCATTAAATTTCCCGCAATAATTTAAAACTAAGACTTAATGTGCATCTGGTTTGAAGAGGTTGGTTGTGACGTTGTGAGTTATAGCGGCATCAGCGTTTGAAACAGTCGATGTCTGGCAGAACCGAACACACGAAATTTATTCATGAAATTTAATATTTTGATGTGAATAATCCCATTTTAAAATAGACCTATAAACATATCAGTTTCAAACTGGTATAATTTATGGACTTATTAGTTACAAATTAGTTGACGATTGTAGAAAAAGTGTGATTTATGTAGAAATTTCTTGGTTTGTTAAAACTGTTAATAGTGTTTCTATCGATTCAAATTGGTAAATAATTAAGACAAACTAGGGCTACTTCACGGCTGACAAAAATTTATTGTTCTACAAATACGAAAGAGATATAGGTCCCTTATAGAGTTAGCATATAATACAGTGATTATCATTCTAACAATAATAATTATACAAAGTGTGAACAGTAACATTTGTAATTAGAATTTTGACGAAATATAAGTTATGATGGATTTATAGAGCCCACCAATGTGGAATACACAAATCTTAACCTAATGTCCTAACAGGTGAGGTGGTACTAAAACTAGTCCAACTAATTCTTAGAAGATCGTGGACTGGTAAACTAAAACATATCATCATTTCCTTTGGCTTTTTTCTCCGTGTGAAATGGGTTCCCTATAATAATTACATTTCTTAATAAATTTTTATCTTAGGTCACAGTAAAGTCACATACATCTCTTGTCTAATCATTTGTCGTCGTCGAAAATGCATTGGTTGTTTTGTTTCGTAATAATTTCACCTCTCAAAGACACCATCTTATTTGTACTAGTAACTGCATCTTTAAGTAAACAGTCTAAATACTCCCTTTTTGTCATGCTAAGGTTTAATCTTATTAACACTTTGTCATCGATATTCATTAAGTATTAAGAAATCTTTGATGGGAATTCCTTGTTATTCCACGAGAATAAATAGGCACTTAACACGTGAGTCCTGGTGCAATCATTCTTTTACGTGATACGTATCAGTCTATTACACCTGCCTTAACCCATTTTATAACTTCATCATACCTATCTTCCACAATCATTTACCGGAACTCCTTTTCCATTCAGTCCACAACAGGAATTCTCGCATGATTCTGTCACATACTTTATCTTCTTCTTCTTCTTCCTTCTTTTATGTAGGCTTTAAAGCCTGTTTTTTCTTCAATATTTGCCTCCTAAATTGTTTAATTATCGCACCATCTTTTTCTTGGTCTGCCAATACTTCTTTGTCCATTTGGTGACTTATCTCGTGCTATTCGTACTATCCTATCCTTTGCCATTCTATTTATGTGTTCGTTCCACTGCAGTTTCTGTTTTGTCACCCATCCATTTATGTCTTCTATATTGCATGCTCTTCTTATGTTTTCGCTTCTCTCCCTATCCAACAGACTTTTCCCTGATATTCGTCGTGTTTTGAAGTGAAGTGTTTTCATCTCTGTTGTTTCTAGTAGTCGTCTCGTTTTAGATGTGTTAGGTTTTGTCTTCGCCGTCTATGTTAATATAGGTCTAATTGCTGCTTTATAGATTCTTGTTTTTGTGTCTTGTCTTAGGTGTTTGTTCTTCCAGATTGTGTCATTAAGAGATCCCGCCGCTGTACTTGCTTTTAAGGTTTGTTGTCGTACTTCCTCTTCAACATCTCCGTAACTAGTTATATCTATTCCCAGATATCTAAATCTTGCTTCCTGCTTTATTATTTTCCCATCAATTTCGATTTTACACCGTAGTGTACTGCTTGTATTATTTCGTTCATTATTATATTAAAGAGAAGTGGGCTTAAGGAATCACTCTGTCTGATTCCGCTTTGTACTAGTATACACTGTGTTAGTTTTCCATTTATCTTTGTCAGTATTCGATTATGGAAAGAGATGTTTTCGGTGGTTTGTATAATATTGATTGGTATGTTTCTTTTATATAGTAGGTGTAAGACGTCTTCGACTTGGATACGATAGAAAGCCTTTGTTAGGTCTCTAAAATATAGTTATGCTGGTTTATTGTACTCGATGGCCTTTTCTGTGATTTGTCTTAGTGTAAATACGGCGTCTACGCAGGGTCTTCCAGATCTGAATCCTTGATGTTCATCTGATAAATATGTTAGTTTATTGATTTTGTTGGTTAGGACTTTTCTGATAAGCGTAAGTGCGGCGTTCAGTACATTTATACCTTTATAATTCTTGGGATCTTCTTTATCTCTTTTCTTGGACATTGGTACACAATAACATACTAGCAAACGAATGGGAAAGATACCTGACGAAACTGTTTAAAGGAAAGGACAATAATAATCAGTACAATAACCTACTTGAATTAAGATACAAAATAGAAATCAGTTTTCAGGAAGTAGAGATAGCTATAAATTCAATCAAAAATAAAAGGGTACCATGACCAGATGGAATAACCAACGAGCTTCTAAAACACGGAGGAGAAAGTATAACATGCTTTATAATAAAATAAAATTTATATACAAAATGAATATAACAATATAAAACTAAAAGTAATTAAATATAATTCCAAAATGTCGAATTTCGATGTTCTGTGTGCAGTCATTTACAGCTAGCTCCAAGTTTGGTCCTGGACCTAAGTCTCCTGTGTTTCCAGTTACTTTACAAAAACTATTACCAGCTTGCAGACACTTTTCGTATATTTTTCTTTAGGTTTGACTATAGCTATGAGAAAAAGGCTGTTTTCCAAACGAATTGGAGGCTTACAGGACTGACTATAAGACTAAGGATATCACTCGCCTCCTTAGAGATTTATCTATATTAAAATAGACTACTTGTAATCAATATTACCTTTTATTTTGATTTTTTAAAATTTTTTATTTGTTTTTTTTTTTAAATACTTATTTTTATATTTATGCCATTTTTATTTCTAATGTTAGAATAAACCATGAACAACAGTAATATGAAGTAAAAGAATATATAGGTATATCAATTTGGATATTTCAATTCTTATTAGCGAATTGTGACTATCCAAAACGAAATTTAGTGTATACAATGATCATCCATTATATTTATTTGCAGTGTTTTCATTTTTAATTTAGCGAATTTATTTAAAATTGGTCGGAAATCTTTCAATTGCGTAAAATTGGGACCTAAAAGTAAAAAGTAACGTCAGAAAAATCTTCGATTTCTAACACTAACAATATTTTTTACCATTCACTTAACCATTATATATTTTATTTGTAATAAATATTTCTGTTTGTAGAGTAAAAACAATTCGTAATCCCATAATATTGCGATTTATCTTCCTTATGTTTTAGCTATGTTAATTTGCACGTTGCCCATTTTTTATTACTAAATTTGATATTTTGGCTGCAGTTGATCCACGCACAGCGGAATTCTTCACGGAAGGTAGAGAATGTGTTAATTGCGGCGCAATTGATACTCCTTTGTGGCGCAGAGACGGCACAGGCCACTATCTTTGCAATGCGTGTGGCCTATACCACAAGATGAATGGCATGAACCGGCCTCTTGTGAAGCAGCCTCGTAGATTGGTACTTTTTTTATTTATGAATTTTTTATTTTAATTTTTTCTCACCCAATCATTTTGCTTCTTCGTGGCCGAACGGCAATGGTTGAGGAGAAGTTCTTTTTGTTGAAAGGGGAATTGATTTTGATTAACATATTTTCAAAACTTATGGGTTTTGCTTTAATGCATGCAAAGAAACTAAAATTAACTATAGCAAAATTCATAATGTTTACTACCATTACTTTAATTTTTTCACGGATACTAAATATTCCATATTTTAATAGGAATTGCTTCATCTTTACTTTTGTCTGACCTTGAAATGTCTATTTTTAAAAAAATATTCCGTTGTCACAGTTATTACAGTCAAAAAATTTATGGCTTTATGCTTTTATCTTCAAAAAGTTTATTTATTAAATGGTTAGCTCTTCCCTTTTTTCTCGTCCTTTCATAATACTGTTGGCGTTGGCATTATAAGAACTCCGAAGTTCTGTTATCATTATTTTATCATCATTTATCATCATTTATCATAATTTAACTTACATATTAAGTCATCTTGGTCACACATAAATAGCTTCAAAAGTTCTAAATAAGTCAGCACTTGTCGAAAAAAACATAAACCGCACAGTGTGGTACTTTATCGTTTTCGGATATTCAGATTCAATGTTTACAGTTCAGCTAGAAGGTTCTATTGTAGAAGTACTCTTTCCTGTTTTGGCACTAATTTTTCTTGTCTTTTAACGTACGACTTTTCCATATTCTTCCATCTGTTAACTATCCCCTATCATATACTTCTACACCCATGTTTAACAATATCTTATTTCTTTCATTTTTATTACTTACCTATAATAGACCATAGATACCTACTTCCACATTCATCATTAATCAACATTTTTAGTGCTATTCCAAGAATTTTTTTTGGCCTTCATTTTTCATTAGTTTTATTATTATTATTTAACATGCGCTATGAAATCAATTTAATAATTTACCTTTCCTAAGTTCTTAATTTGTACCACATATTGTAGGTACTCTTAATCTTGTTCCGATCTCCACTGCTCTTATTTTGTATATTGGTAACCTTGATTAAGCCTTTAATTTTTAAATTTCTTTATTTTTATTATCGTCAATTCTTAAATCAAACGAATGCTGCAATTATTTTTCTCTGATGACTAGTTTGCAATCAGAAAAAACTTGAAACCATTATAAAACTTGGCGTACTAATATTAAATTATTATTTACTACTAAAATAGTAATAAAGTTAATGAAACTTTATATTTATATTTTATTACACTTTTATTACGAAAACTAACCAAATTGTTAAGGGAAATTTTTAACGTCCAATTTTAGGTTAATTTCTGATACAGAAAATATGTTGATCCCCCAAACTTTCTCTTCAACCAGTGTCGTTCGGTGTAGAACATCATTGATTGAAAAAATACAAAAATGCTAAAACACCCCCGATGTGCGAGGCAAAGCTGCTACCAAAATGTCAAAATTCAAAATTTTTGAGCCGGTTCTTTGTTAATAATATAAAATACTACTTAATTTGATAATGTAACCCCCTATTTTGCGTTCCAGTGGCGGCAGAGCCGGGCCACGGGGGTGTTCCCGATTACTACAAGAACTACTATACTGGGTACAATGGGGTTCGAAACCCCACCGTGCCGGGCCCTGAAGAAAAGTCAAATCGACGATTGGTAGGTTCAATTTTATTTTCCAATAGCATTACCTTAGAATCTCATTAAAAAATTGTCTATTGACGTTCTAATGTAATGATATTAATTGCTGTCTATCATTTCTTCAGTAGTAGCTTTTGAAACCTATCGCTTTTGTTGCTTCTTGATAATTCACATTTGAATAAACTTATTAGATCTTCTATTTCTTCTACTTTAATAACATTTTAGTAAGTAGGAAACTAAGGCATTTTTATGTAGATTTGAAACGTAAACAAACTCGTATTCAAAGTTAATACACCTCAGTAATATTTTCATAAAAAGATTTTTCTACAATTACTATTTTTTGGAAATAAGTCACGATTTAAGTTTAAGATTTTAAATTCATTTTAAACAAATTGTGGCTTATTCCCAACAAGAATAGTAATTGCCTTAAGATGTCCCAAGAAAATAGCTTAAAAAACAGTATAAAGATTTTTCTGAAATTCTACTATACCTAATCGTCGCTTAAGTTCAAGTTCAACTGCGACGTATACGCATATCTGGTTGACAGATATCGAGAAAGCTTTTGATCGAGCACAGCACGCCAAGATGATGCAAATACTAAAATAAGCAGAAATTAACAACCAAGATCCAAAAATAATTAGAAATCTTTAGTGGAATGAGACAACAGATCTCAGAGTTGAAGGTGAACAGACTGACTATGTGAAAATCATGCGTGGAATGAGGCAAGGCTGCATTTTGTCTCCTCTAATCTCTAATCAGTACTCTGTATTGAAAAAATATTTATCGAAGCTTTGCACGAAATTGAAGAAGGTATTCTACTAAACGGTTACCGGCTAAACAGTATCAGATATGCAGATGACACCATAGTATTTGCGGACAACTTAGAAGACCTACAAGTTCTTATTCACAAAATTACTTATTACAGTCAACAATATGGTCTCAATATAAACGTTAAGAAGACATAGCTTATGATAATTAGCAAGAAAAGGATAACAGAAGGTCATCTCTACGTCAACCAATCTCCTGTAGAAAGAATGACGCACTACAACTACCTCGGCACTATAATAAATATAGAATGGGCCAACAACCAGGAGATTAGAGCACGCATCTGAAAACCTAGATCCACCTTCAATTGGATCCGCCTTCTTCAAGAGTCACAACCTTTCTCTTGATACTAAAGGTTCGAAAATCGGAATCGAAAAGAAATGTTTATTAGCTTAAAAAATAAAAAATAATATTTTTACACAAAAACTAAAAATATACCCACAGGTAAGGAGACTATAATAGAGAACGATGTACAGAGATACTTGCATAACTTAAATAAACAATGAAATAAACATAGAATATCAAACGAGAAGATAATAGAAGTACATGGTCATAACTAGCTTGGTTAACAACTAGCTGTAGAAACACTAGAATTACAGTTCGTATGTCTGGGAGTTAACATCTTTAGGCATGATTTTGCAAGATATAAAAAAAACACACCATAAGATGTATCATGATGTACAGCAAACTTTATAATAGTGAAGTTTGATTGCTCAGCTTTTAAAAGAACCCACTTTAGCGGCATTGGTTAAGTAAGTCTTAGCAATGAAACCGAGGCGAGCTCAAGGCTCAAGTCTGTCTGAATATTAGACAACACCAGCTAACACTTAATAGTAACCAGAGAATAGTAACTAACATCCCTGATAGGCCACTGAATGAATGCCGAGCTTCCGATTGTTACGCCGGTCGAAGAAGCCCGAAAATGCAAAAATGCGGTATTTCGCACATGTCACCATAAACGACGTTTGCTGTAGTTTATTCTATAACTACAGTAATGTTTAGAACGTAGAAACTATGGTACAGTTCCCTGGGAGGAATTGAGGCCTAGATATTTTTGATAATAGATTGGATAGTTTTGCGCTATAGCAAAAACTGGCGGAAAGCGCAGTTACGGAAAGTCGCCGATGAGATGAAGTGATAGTTGGAAATCTGCTTCCAAAAGATTAACAGCTATGAATTGTTTTTAACCGATCGAAATATTCTTAACAAGAAGACAAAAATATTAAAAAACTAAAGCGAAGGTTAGCAATTGTTGAAAATGACTGACAAAACAGAAGAGGAAGAAGGATTAAAAGAAAACGCTTTTGGAAATAGGCGAATACCTAATACATGACTTATTTAAGAACTTAAGGAGGATTCAAGAATATCTACAACCCCAAGAAGTGTATCAATATTTAAGCCCCGATCCTATTTTATATGTAATTAAACTAATTGATTAGCTATAATAAGGATTGATATTTCGATTCCCAATGCCAATTGTATACCTTTACATCAAAGTTACGATCATCATAACTTTAATATACGTAAGTGTGTATAAATCAGAACAAAATTATTTTAGTTATGCAGTAATGTGAACGCTTTATTGATATAGTGCGTTCACCTCATCTTTATAAAAAATTAAATATTTTCTGAATTGGCTATGCAATGAAAACATAGTCAGCTTTAAAGAGTAAAACAAACATTGTTTTGCGAATTTAAATGGTCAACAAAATTGAGTACAACAAATATAGGACTTACAGTATAGATGAAACTAAAAATTGTGTTTACTAATCTTTTGAGTTTGTGTGGGTTTACTTAGAAATACCATGTACTGCTTGCCATTTACATAAAGATGCCTAAGACATCTCTACATTTATATAATTTTAAATTTACTGGCTTGAAGATTCGTATTTTAAAGTAATTTATAAATAATATGTCTATTTCTTTGATAATTAAATACACATTATTTTCAATCTTTTTTAAAAATTGGATTTGTTTAGAGGAGCGTCTTAAATTAAACAGTGTTAGGGCCGGTTTCACTAACAACAAATAGCAGTTTATTCAATGAATAAAGTTATTCGATCAATAAAACTGACATATCTGCGTTTCACCAACGTCAAATAAGACATCTATGAATAAACTCCAAATAAGTTATTAGTCCAATATCGGTCAAATAAATATTTATTCTTCGAATAAGTTGACAGCTAACCTCACTTTAAATATCAATAATAAAGAAAATTCATTAGTTTAACTTGAAATTATTAACAATGTATTGCAGGTAAACGTAATTATATCAGACGATTTAATTTTGTATACATATATATTGATTTTCGAATATTATCTTCATCATCATCATCCTCTGATGACGGAAATGAACAGCGAAGGAGAAGACCACGCTGGTAGCTGCAAAGAAGAAATCATTTTGCTGAATTTGATGATGTATACTTTAAAACTAGGTTTAGATTCTCAAAAAATTCAGTAGATGATTTATTAAATTTGATCGGTAACCAATTGCATCCTGTAAGCAACAAAAATAGACCCATAGATGTGCGAAATCAATTGTTAATTGCTCTTCGTTTTTATGCAACAGGATCGTTTCAAATATGTATTGACCATTGGCATTGACAATTATTATTATTTTGACAAATTAAATCAACCAATATCAAATATAATAGGTTATGTATATAATTACAGTGAAAAATAGTGCAATGTGCCTGGCCAAACACCTAAGAGGTGGAGGCCAAAAGAGGTGTCAACGAGTACAGTCTGTGGAAAATCATTACGCTTTGAACTTATTCGACAAATAACTAACTGTGAATTACAAATAGTTATTGAAACGGAATAAAATTTATTTTACTAATAAATTTTATTCAACGATTAACTATTCAGTGATTTATTTGTTGTTGGTGAAACCGGCCCTTAGTGATGTTTTCTGTAATATTTCTAATAAATTTAAGGGGCATTTAAAGTTAACGTTTCTTTTAAAATTTGATATTGTTTTAAACAATGATGCCATTGATAGTCCACAAAGACATTATAAAGGACCGCTAATATTTTTTTAGAGCAATCCACTAAAAAAAGGTTTTCAATTAAATACGGCTATGTCGTATGTTAGTTCTTATATGATGTCTTTCATATTTTGTGTATAGAGCTATATAGAATGAAAGTAGAGCAGTAGATGGCTTTTAAAGACTCTTTTAATTTTCGAAGTATTCTCCGAAGATTAATGCATTTTTTTATTTCTTCCAACTAACTCTCGAAAAAGTCGTTTTATTATTTTTATGATACATTTTAAAATTGTGGTTTTGAAGACATCGTTTATATTTTCTGACCACTGAAACCATTTACCACGTAATGAGTCATTAATTTCTGGAAAATCAAAAAAAAGCGTTGAGATTTAGTTCGGGATTATGAAAAGGTTAGTTTTCAAGACTCATGAAAAATGTATGTTTGTATACAAACCACGAGAGACAGTGCTCTAATTTCGTAGAGAAATTGTTGCTGCATGAGGTGCTTTTGAGAAAAATATCACGACCATATTTTTGTGACGTTTTGAAACAGCAGGACTTTATAGTTGAAACACCCAACAGAACAATTAAACTCTTCTTACGTTTTAGAGTTTGCGTTGATGCAGTCTAGTTTTTGAACAAAAGGCGCAAACCACAAAAAATACTAATAAAACCAAAAAACGAGCAAAACGGGCCCACATCCTCCAGCGCCGAGTCATCGAATTGGGCTGAGCCCGGAGCAGGGAGTCGCGGCCCAAGCAAGCAAGCAATACAGATCGATGATAAGTCACTAGAGCGAGAATAGAGCTCCTTACGCTGGCTTGCATTCTTCGGAGTAGGATTTCGTTTGAGTGGCCAGAGAACTACGTGGCCTTGTACATCTCACGAGTTATTCCTTCTCGCTCCAATGAATTGTATCACTCTAATGTCGTACTTAAGGGTGTGCACGTCTCTCTTCTGGGTTAAACTATTGCTTTCTGCTTTAGTTTTTGAGCCTAATTATTTCTGCTTTTTGTTCCTCGATCAACAGATGCGGTATCAAACGAAAAACTTTTGATTTACACATTACTTCGTGTAATTTTTTTTTTAATTGGAGTCTTTAAAAACTCAATGTCTTTATGACGCGATATATCACATGTCAATCTTCGTAGATTAACTTTCGCAATTCGCATATCATTGACTTTACCTGATTAATTACCATTTTCGACAACAGAAACCAAGTAGACGAGGTAATCTAGTTGAGATACCTAATTGTCTTCGAAAAAAAAAGCAAATTATTGCGTGAAAATGTTTATGGTTTAATTCCATTTCTCGACTAGCTGATCAACTCTGTTAATTTGTTACAGCTTCAACCCTTGGCGTTCTTTGGGTTAACTAAAAATTCAGATTTATTTTTAATACTGATAATTAATGAGTGGCACTCTCTTTGTCGAAGTATGCAAAATATAAAAGACACCTCAGCTATAAAGCGTCTTAATTAAGTTGTGTTTTGAGAAACAAAAATGTAAACTGGTTGTATGTAATAATAGATTAAAAGTCAATTAAATAAAAATACTATGACTGGTATCCCAAAATGAAGAATGTTTCATGACAATGTTTGTTCATATGTGAATTATCAATTGTTTTTATCGAGGTAATTATATGTAGTCTTGCAGTAATTATGTCATTTATCTATAATACGTTTATAGTTTTTCTTAGAGTACAATATTATTATAGTAGCTTATCTAATTGCTATAAAAAATTATTATTTTTTATTGGTCACCATAAATATAATTTATTGACTGATTATGACTGGTTAAAAACCTGCTTTATAAACTAAGAAGTGAAATACCAGAAAAACTATGCACGTTTTATACTATGCATTATTGTTTTGTATATTATGTTTTGATTTGGGTTAAACCAGTAATTATAGTTTGTAATGACGAGCAATGAATTTCAAACAATGTCGCTATTTATTTTTCCTAGAACAGTCAACCACTTGCACTATTTTTACTATTTTATATCTTGTATTTTATTACATCTACCTTTTTATTCAAAGTTATTGCATATTTTGAAAGTTGATCTTCTCTATAAACTTCGTCTTTTTCCACCTTATATCTTTGTTAAAATTGTTCTGAAATTTTTTGCTTCTGACAATCATCAAATAGTTTGATAGTCTGGCAAAGTTTTTATCAAATATTTCTTTGGTAATAAACTACAGATTTTTAATAAACTAAAATAAATGTAAAACTAATAAACAATTATCCTGGTTAAGGAATATTAAAGAATGGACAGGAATACACAATACAGGTGAGCTGTGTCACGCCGCCAAGAACAGAATAAATAAAGAAATGTCGTTTATGCTGAGGTGTGTGAAATGACGTATTTTCGCCTCGACTTATCGGATTTCGGCCACTACTGAAACAATCGGAAGCTCGCCATTCATTTAGTGAGTGCTAAGTGTTACATCTTCTATTCTGATAAGCTTGAGCCCGTTCTTATTCTTCTTCTTCTTGATGTGCCTATCCATTAAAAATGTTGGCGATCATCATGACAATCCTTATCTTATCTGCAGCAGCCCGGAAAAGCTGCATATATGTTGTATTGAATCAGATTCTGAGTTCCTCCCTCATTTGTGATTCGGTCGGTCCACGGGATCTTAAGTATTCTTCGATATAGCCACATCTCAAATGCTTCCAGTTTGCTGCACATATCTTCGTTCAAGGTCCACGATTCAACACCATAAAAAAAGGACAGAGAAGACGTAGCATCGCAGCATTCTTACTTTTGTATCAAGAGAGACTTGTGACTCTTGAAGAAGGCCCCCATCCGATTGAAGGTAGATCTTCCTTTCCTAAAACCGTACTGGTAATTTCATATGCTTTGTTCTATGTATATTGTTCTGTGTCTAAGTCTAGTCATTCCAGCCATTACTTTATATGCTTTATTCAGCAAATTAATAGCTCTATAGTTTTTACATTTTATATGGTCTCTTTGTTTTGGGATTGTCACTATAATTACCTTCTTCCATTCTTCGGGCATTATTTCCTTACCGGATTTTTACTGATACGATGTGTTATTGCAAGTAACTTAAGACAAGATTAAAAAAAACAGATACTTTGTTTTTAAAGTGATTAGTTAGTATTTCTTTATAATATAATTAACCTTTCAAAATATAATTAGATACTAAAAACACATATTTTCAGTCTGCTTCTCGACGAGCTGGCTTGACCTGCACCAACTGCCATACAAGTACTACATCACTTTGGAGAAGAAATGCATTAGGGGAACCAGTTTGTAATGCTTGCGGACTCTATTACAAATTGCACTCAGTCAACAGACCTCTATCGATGAAAAAAGATAGTATACAGGTAAAAAACACGCATACATTTTAAAGCTTATGTTTAGTTACAGTTGAGAAAATTCCGTATGTAGAGAAAAGCTTATCTGCATCCGTTTCTTTTTGTTAATGCTTATTTCTTTTTCGTAGCTCCATAATGTGTTTTTTCGAAATGTTTTCAAGTAACCTACAACAAATAATACTAGATTAAAAAAGAGTTTTAAATGTTTAAGAAAAGAAGAAGTGTGAACAAGAATCTTTATGTATTGCAAACTTTTTTGGTTTCTTTCACTAGATCATCAATTTATAATTCCAAGTAGTACGTTAATTATTTCGTCAAATGTAGTTTTTTATTAAAATATTTCTAGATACAGTAAAATATTAGCATAGTAAATCCAAGACGATTAAATAAAAACCTCAGAGAACATAATTTAGAAACCTTTATTACGCTAAGAGATACTGCCTGAGAAAGATTAAGGCCTTATTTCTATAGCATTGTATAAAACCTATTTGGAATCAGTATTAAAATTTAGATTTCTAGGTTAAGATATCTAACTTGCGTTTCGCAGACGACACTACACTTCTAGCCTCTACTCCAGAAGAAATTATTAAATTATTAAAAAAACTCGAGGTAGAAAGTGCTAAATTTGGACTCATGGTTAACTACAACAAAACCAAAATCATGGTTATTGATCGCCAACAACAGTTTCCTGAAACCCAAACTATTGCAGGATGCGAGGTGGTCTCATCTATGATATATCTTGGAGCTCTAGTTAACAACACAGGCAGTTGTGAATCCGAAATTAGAAGACGCATTCAACTGCAAGAAGCAGCAATGAGTGAACTAAACGGGGTCTGGCGTGATCGTCACATTACTATGACAAACAAAAAGAGACTCGTTTCAACTCTGGTATTTTCCATATTTTACTATGCATGCGAAACATGGACAGTCAAAGAATCAGATCGACGACGTATAGACGCCTTTGAAATGTGCACATGGAGACGCCTGCTTCGAATTCCATGGACGGCTCGCCGTACAAATATCTCGGTTCTGGATGAAATTAAACCGGATCAGCGTCTCTCCAGTACCGTTTACTCTAGAATTTTAAAGTTCTTTGGCCATATCCATTGAAGTGATCACAAAATGGAGCGGTTGGTGGTCCAAGGAAGGCCTCAGACTCAACGCCAACGCGGAAGATCTCCACAGCGATGGGCGGACATTACTAAAAAGCTTCTCAATAAACAGTATACTGAGGCAATACATATAACTGATGACCGCGACCAGTGGAGAAATATTATCAATCAAACTGTCCGAGCTGCTGAAGCCCAATTATGAACCACAACACATCTACTAAGATGTTAATGACTGTGATGATGATGATTAAAATTTACGATTTGTAGCTAATTAAAGTCCAAAGCCAAACTTTACCTAGACCGCCTAACGAATATTAAAGCCCTAAAAGAAGAAACGTTTGTTTTAGTACAGGACTACTGTGATATTTAATACATGACACGCAAGATTATTGAGAAATATAAAATATAAGACCTAGAAGTCAAAATAAAACGAAATATATCTGTTGGGGGAAGTAGTACAACGGAATCACTACTTCAAAGCTTCAAAAAATTACATGTCTCTAGTTACAAATTGTTAGCAGTATTGGAAACAGAATGGGGACATAAATAAGGAGTTTTTTACTGTATTTCAATATATTTGTGTTGTTTTTGTCAGGGTAATTTCAAAATAAATCAATAAATCATTAATTTATTTACGAAGTTAAAAAATATTTGAATTGATGTTTTATTCTTTTTTCATATATATTTTATTTTTTATGTCTTTTTTTCATTTTTTTAAACACTCACTATGGCAATTTGATGGAAAGGTTTCCACAGAAGGTTATATTAGAACTTCTTTCTTCTTCAGATGCAAATCCACTAATGGATGTTAGCGATCACATTTTCCATTAATTCTCTATTTCTTGCAATATGTATTAGAGATTGTATGTCGTTAATCCCTGTCCATTGTCTTATGTTTCGGAGCCAGGACATTTTCTTGCGTCCCATTCCTCTCTTGCCTTCAATTTTATCCTCGATTATAAGTTGGAGGAACTGGTATTTTTCATTTCGCATGATGTGACCTAGATACGCCGTTTTCCTTTTCTTGATGGTTTCGAAAAGTTGGCGTTCTTGGTTTATTCTTTTAAGGACATCTATATTTGTGATTTTCCCTATCCATGGTATTTTTAAGACACATTAGACACATTTAGGAATAAAGCCACATTTCGAAAGCTTCTAATCTTTAGAACTAGAAGTCCTTATTTACTACTTAAACTACGAGCAAACCAATATGCTTAGTCTTTTACAGGATAAAATCACTGGCAACTAAAAGAGAATAAAAAATAAATAAGAGCATCGAAAGTTGGAGAATATGCTCCTAACAAGAGAGCTTAGAAACGGTTTCATTTTGTTGTGATTACTATTTAATTTATGCAGTGAATACTTTGGATGGACAAGAGGATTTGCTGATCAAGGATCAAAACTGTTGCTAGCATTTTCTAATGATATAGATGCAGTCACGCATTCTACAAGAGACTTAAGAGAAGTGTTTTCACAGCTCGAGGAGGAAACAGGTAGTCTGGGCCTCCGAATAAATGAAGAAAAGAGGAAATACATGGTAGTAACCAAAAATCCAAGACCAAGAGTTTAAATACCTGGGGACGGTAATCGCAGCTGACAACCACATAGAAAAAGGTCTCAGCAAGGATAGCTGCAGGAAATAGAGCATTATACTCCCTTTCAACATTATTAAGATCGAAGCTGCTAAAAAGAAAATCTAAATTAACACTGTACAAGTCGATTATTCGCCCAAATATTACATATGGCAGTGAAAGATGGACTCTCAACCGGCGGGAAATCAATAAGCTTCTAGTATTTGAAAGAAAGGTTCTCAGAATAATATTTGGCCCTCAAAGAGATGAATTCACAGGGATGGAGAAGACGTCGCAGTGCTGAATTGGTGACTCTGTATGGAACCTGGAACTGTTGAATTTTCGTATTGCACAAGCTCATAGTAGAAATCGTATTATTGTCTTCTAGCCATTTAAATGAAAGAGTTTGTTGGAGAAATTTGTTAAATTAAAAAAAAAGTAATATTGATCAATTACAAATACAAATGCTGTCATTATTATTTTAATATTTTTTTCTCATCATCATCCAGCCGAATTTTCACATCCATTGTTGGATATAGGTCTCCTCCAAACGTCTCCAGTTCTCTCTATCTCTAGCTGCTGCAATCCAGTTTGTTGCAATCCAGTTTTTGCTGCAATCCAATTTTTTTCTACTTCCGAGCAATTATCAAAAAATTTTTGCCTCTGCTTCAATTGATGACGTTTTTAATTTATATATTTAGGTATATATTTAAAATGTGCCCCTCCACTAGACTGATGTTAAAATATCATCAGAATTTTAGAATAGAATACTTATAGAATTTTAAACTAGAATTTTAAAGTATTATTGTTTGGTTTAATTAAATACCTGAAATTTTAATTATAATTATAATTATATCTTTAATAATTTCAAATACTTGTTCTTTCAGACGCGTAAACGAAAACCAAAAGGAAGTAAAGAGTCTAATGCTAGTAGCGCGCACATTCCAAGAAACATCAACACATTACTACCAGGCATAAAAATGGAAGACGTTGGAGTCAAAATTGAACATACAACATTAGGTACGTAGCAGATAACTTAATTATGTTGATCTAATATCCACAAAAATTATTTATTTAATTGTTGAATAGGGGGAAAATAGTTACCACACCTCTCTTTTCCCTTCATAGTGTATATTTTTTTATAAATCTCATAAATTTGTTTCATTTATTTTCTTCTTTTGTCTCTAAATAATTTGGTTATTTTTTAATTGGATTTATATGATCAATCTTATTTGTTATCTTCCTATTCTTTTATTTATATTCACACTTCGATGTCACCATCTCCCTCTTCTCACAACTCATATCAATTGTTTTGAGTAAATGATAGCTATGCGACCATAAATATAATAATTCATTGAGTGTAATATTTCGTATTTCTTCCTGAAGTTCCGTTTGTTAACTGCGGCAAACAATATCAAAGGTGATACCCTAAGGGTCTTAAGATTCTTTTGCTCACTTAGGTGAGCCTAGCCAGATTATTTTCCTAATTATTATCTGTAGAAAAATTTAAACATCTAAAAAAAGCGATGGCTACAGTAAAAGCGTATGGAAACGGTGGCTTCCAGCGATGGAAAAATGCAGTAAAATAGAGATACTACAGGCAAAAGCATCACAGCTTCAACTTCCATAAGAAAATAAAAGGAATGGAAAGATACCACAGACGAAGATCTGTAGCAGTTTTGAACTCACACCACAGCATCATTACTGAAACTGACAAAATAAGATATATTAGGTCTAAATTGGAAACAATAAATGGAGAAACTATTTTGAGTTGAAAACACCAATACTACGACGACAGAGTATGATGAGGAATTGCTAACCATCGCACGACAGAAGTCGTTTCGAGCCAGCTATCGAAAGACTGAAGATCAACAAAGCTTTTGAATAAGACCAGATACAGTGAGACATTTACACTGAAAAATGAGACTTTTGACCACCCACTTCAATAAAACTCATATTAGCGGACAAATATAAAATCATTAGCTGTTACCAACTATCAGTCCAAAATCAGAAGAAAAATATAATCGGCAAATTATATAATCTTGAAATCTTGAAATATTGATACCAGTAATGTAAGCTAGAATTATTCGAACTTAAGCTTAACTTAATAACATAATATACTTATTGTTATATATTTTTATTAAAATAATTCTTGTCTTTTTCAGATAACTATGGTGAGCTAAAAACAGTATCATCGCTTAACCAACTTCAGCATTCTTCTAGCTACGGTTATGCCACTCAAACCCACCAAAGATTGAGCCCTTCATACACCGCTCAATCCTCTCCACAATTATCTTCACAATCACATTACTATGACACTATGCTTCAACAACCAAGCCCCAGTCCTCCATCGGATGAGTCAAATAGCTCTATTAACAACAATAATATAAGTAATAACAATAATACCAAAGTTATTATTAACGGAGACCACTGCGACAGACCCACGGTAGTGTCGCTCTCATCATAAACTTGTAAATACTTTTAGTTAGATAGAGATTGTATCTAGTATATTAAACATTTGACTGTTGTGATTCCTTAACTTTATTATATTTTAAAATATTCGGTTCGTGTACCTACAAGGCTTGTTTAGAAATATTGAACGATTAGAAAACGGGCGGGTGCCTAAGTTGATCTGTTGGCATCTGTTGTTTTTTGATCGTCATAGTTTGCGAAGAATAACTTTAATTTTAGGCGAGCCGGATAGCTGAAACGGTAGAATGTCTAACTAATTTGCAGAAGGCCTGGATTCGATAATCCTGCTTAATAATCTTGGATAAAACTTGATAATCTACACTACTGTACGCCCAAACTTAACTGTAACACGATATAACGATATATAACGCGAGACTGTTTAACTAAATAATTCTCTTTACTGTCAACCCCATTCGGGATCAAATTTCGGAAATGCTTTTCTCTAAAGTGTTAGGTTTGGGCCATATCAATATTAATCCTCTTTTCTATTATATAGTCATACATTTATGTATGACTATAGAATATGTAAACCTATAATGTCTAGGTTTGAGCATAGAGGTCCTGTAGGTCTCTTTTGATGTTGTCAGTCTTTTTCGCTGACAATCTGATGGGCGCGTTCCTATTGACGTCGATATAATACTTTCATCACCACTTCACCGGGCATGATCCATCCATGAAAGTCTCCAAGACCTGACTATGCTTATTATTAGGTGTAATATAGACAGATGTCAAATTTTTGAGTTTGGGCGACACTTCAAATTATTTTCAGGATCTTGCTTGGGCCCTATGATCTTTCTTAATATTTTGTTTTCAAAGGTTGTTGTTACCATGCCTCGCAACCGTATAATAGTACTGGTCTTATGATAGTATCATAAATTGTTAGATTTTTGTTCTTGGATTCTTAGTTTCATTTGATAGTAATTTTGATTTCAGCATTATATTATTTAAATTTTTATTGCAGCTTTGTTTTCCGCTGTTATGCTCACTAATATTTATTCTTTAACTTCATTGTTGGTATTCAGTATTGTGACCAAGTACTTGAACTTGTTTACTCTCTCCAGATTGTCCCGAACCATCAATATCGAATTGGTGTCAGAGATTTACCCAGTTTCTGTGCAACACTTGGTTTTGTATGTATTGACAATCATCCCCGCTTCTCCAGTCGCTGATTTTAATCGATGATAAATTACTTGAATACAGTCTATGATGATAAATTACTTGAATACGGTCTATTGTACTGTCCATAATGTTTATGGCGTCAGCATAAGTTAAATTGTACTGCTTACCACCAAATGAAATTCCCCTTGTGCCTGTTGCAGCTTAATAACGACCCATTATATTTAGTACAATTTCAAATAGGTAGAGATATTAGATATCATTGTCTTCATCCGCTGTCGTAGTTTAAAACTCTCGATACATGCTCTAGTCATATTTATCAGTTTTCGAAGGAAGCCATACTCTTTCATTATCCTCCATAAACTTATTCTTTCAATACTGTCGTAGGCTTGTTGACAATCCACGAATAGGTTGAGGACATTTAGATTATATTCCCATCGTTTCTCAAGGATTTGCCAGTTGCTTAAGATTTGGTTGGTGGTTCCTCTATTTTTTCTAAAACCACATTAGTATTCACCAATGCTTTCTTCGGCGTATGGTGTTGATACACCACTACCGGACTTTAACTTAACCACTACCGGACTTTTCAGGGCAGCAGTCAACAAAGTCAGAATAGCCATGTTAGTGTCCAACATCCGTAACGGATAGGCACCATAAGAAGAATGGTGTTGATATGTTAAACAAGACATCTGAAAGTATCTAGTATCCCCTTTTGTGAATAATGGTACAACTAGTGCCTTGAAGCATAGACATTTCATCCTTTTCCCATATTGTCACAATAAGTGAGTGTGTTTTACGAGCTTCTCTACTCCCTTCTGTATTAATTTTGTCGATAGTTTATCAGATCCAGGACCATAAGATGTGTGTGTGTGTGTGTGTAGATAGTGGATGGCATCAGAACTTGTCTATTTGCCACAGAAAATTTGTATTTTTTTTTTTTTTTTTAATTAAGGATAGGATAGGGATACAAAACATGGCCACTCGTTTCTTGTCTAGGGACCCATCAAGACATTTTTATTAAGACAAACTAGACTAGGTCACGGGCAGGAGGTATTAACAAATGGGGTAAAACAGAGGTTTGGATTCTAATTATATAATGTTTGTAAATACACATATATACATATTTAACCATATATGAGCTAAATTTCTATTTTTGCTTCTAAAACAAACTTGATTAAAAGGTTGTATATTTCTTTATCTTGTTGTGCTAATAAAGTAGGAATGTTAGTTGGTAGACTTACAAACTTTTTCAGTTCTTGGTACAGCATATCCGTATGTGCAGTATACTTTTGACACTCTAAGAAAATGTGATTTATATCGGCTAACGGTTTTTTTTGGACAGTAAGGACAACACGGAGAATCTACGATACCAATCCTAAATAAATGAGCTGGAAAGCGACCATGATTAAGTTTTAAACGTGATATAATTGATGACTTATATCTATTATAATCCCACGAATTGATGTAAGGAATGTTTGTCGGTAAAACTGGTTGAAGTTTAAAATAAAGGTTCTCTGATGTAGTTGAAAATTTACTGTACTGAGCTTCCCATCTAACCCTAACATCAGTTTTATATAAATTAATAAGATCTGATGAGCTGCACATGTTTACTTTCAATTCTGAGTCAAGTGCTTGTTTCGCTGCGAGATCAACTGCTTCATTCCCAGTTATCCCTGAATGTCCTCTAACCCAGACTAATGTAACTCGTACACCATACTCCTGCAGTTTATATAGACTATTTTTTATAGATAGAAGAATATTTTTGTTATAATGGTTAAAAGGAGGACTTTTAATGGCGTGCAAAACTGAGAGAGAGTCTGTTACAATTATCACAGATAAAGGTAAATTCATCTCGCACCAATCTAAAGCTTTCTTAATAGCTATAGCTTCTGCACTAAAAATCGATAAATAATGAGGGACTTGATATTGCTCAACATGGTTAATATTAGAAACTAAAAATGCACAGCCTGTTTTAAATCTTTTTTTTGATCCATCCGTATAAATGATGATTTTATTTTCTCCTAAATTACAGAGTATAGATTTGAAAATTAATTTTGATAGAAATATATTATCTGGATAGTTTGGAATTATAATGGTTGGTTTAAATATTAAGGCTGGAAAATCGATTTCGTAAATAGGATATTTTTTTTGACTATGTATTAGTTCTTTATGTCTCTCAGTGTTAATAAAAGCCTCAGCAAGCGGGGGAGACGTTTTAATTCTCCAATATTTGTTTGTAAGATTCTGGACCGCTATATTTGATATTTTTTTGACCATAAATGTACTAAACGTCCTATACTTTATTAGCTGTTTATTAGATAAGTACTCTCGTCGAAGGCACAAAGGCGGTTCTTGTGCTTCAGCGAGAACTGCATAATTCGGTGATGACATCATAATTCCTAGACTTATTTTAATTGCCTTATATTGAATTCTGTCTAAGGTTAATAAGTTTGATTTGCTAGTTGAGGCATAAATAGTACATCCATAATCCATTATTGAGCGGATGTATGACTTATAAAAAGTAAGGGATATTTTAACATCTGCACCATAAGATTTTCAACTCTTATTCCGTCATATATTTCGTCAAGTGTTGGTTGTGGTATTTTCACCTCATGATTTCATATGTCTGTGTTTACTTCGTTTGTGCTTGTTGGAAGTTTAACAGTTCGTAAAAAATACTCTTTCCATCTTTAGCAAATGTCTATCAATGAGTAAGTTTCCTTGTTGTTCTATGATATTGGCAGTTCTCGCTTCAAAACAGTCTTTTCTCTTCCGCATTTCCCGATAGAAGCTTAAAACTTTTGACTGGTTGTATTGGATTTCTACTTCATTTAATTTATTTTCCCAATCTTCTCTTTTTTTCTTTCGTAAGTTCTTTGTTTCCCTTTTTGCTTCAATAAAGGTCTTCAAACTTGTATCTATTGTTAAGCCATGTCTTTTTAACTTCTATTCTTTTTAATTTGTTTGTGACATTCGTTATCAAACGTATTTTGTATTTTGGCCTCTTTTTCTTTCCTAAAGTTTACAGGGTCATACTACTTTCTTAGACTTTTTGTTGACGACAAAGCCTACAACGAATTTACTCTATAGCAATCTAAATATTTATATTTGTATAATTCGATGTTCTTACACAAGGCAATCGAGGTTCTGTTGTTTAAAAACACTTAATCAAGTAGTCTACGTCGGAACTTAAAGATGTGAATTTTGAATTGGAAGATGTGAAACAAGACCTTTCGAATTTTTAATACTCTATATTTGATATATCTAATACTAATATTGTTAAGGAATCGAAACAGTTTTTAACATCGAATATGAATGTTAAGATTTATTAAAGATCTCGAAAGGTAGGTCTGATTGGGAAACAATACTTAGATAAGCCGCTTTATTAGATCTGATTATTTTCTTTTTTAAAAGAGTTATTTGTTTCGAAATATTTATTTTCGACTAGTATGTAATGTATCAGATGTAGAAATTAATTGTAATTTCTTGTAACACATTTCAGTTGGGACTAGCAAAATTTATCAAAAGCACAAAATGAGCACAATATCTCTAATCGTATCAGTTTATTATTTGCTTAAGAATATTTTTATTACCCATTAAAAAATATTAACACGATTTTTAATACTATAGTTAGAAAGTGTTAATATTTTTGAAGAATCTGTTATCAGTTTGTTTGTCAAAGGCTTCTATTCGCTATTGGTGTGATCAAGAGGTTTTTTAGCCTAGTAGACCTTTCTATACTACGGCCAACATCTACATTGATGGTACTGCTTGTTGTAGAACCTTAATCTGTAAGAATTGCTTAAACATACACGTAAACATACGATTAAACATCATCATCAAGAAAACGTTTTTTCTCCGCCATCTCTCGCTTTCTTG